CACACACACATACACACATATACTCACACACACACACACAGACACACACACACACACACAAACACACACACACACACACACCACAACATACCACAAAGAAGGAAAATCACACACTCAATATTACAATCTCCCCGCCAAGCTGTGCTCTGACTCTCTCATCGACCCCTCGCCCTCACGGGCCTATGGATTCTTGCTCCGCCCCAGCTGTCTCTTTGTCATAGGTAGTCAGACCACTATAAAAACAGGGAATTGTAAGGCAGTTACCCTGTTCTGTGTGTGTTACATAACATCTGCGACAAAAAGAAACATCTGGAGACTAGCTCTTAACAACGAAATGAATTTCTTCAACCCAATAATGGTGTGTTCAGTCACTCCTCCGCCCCCCTTCCCCCCTCCTTTTCTTTTTTTCCCCTGACTAAACCCTTTCTAATTATGGTTCATTGTGATGCACAGAATGAAACTGAACTTTTAAAACGTTATGGTCAAATGCATAATATGTGTTTAATATATCATGTAATAGAAGCAACAGAAATGTGGTTTCTTAGGAGACAGCGAAGGGTATCGTGGAAGGAAAATAAATAAAAAGAGGTAGTGCTTGATGAAGCCCACGGGTGAAAAACAATCAGGAAACGACAAATGCAGTTTTAGGGATGCATAAATAGACATAAGGGTCTTGAACCAATAGTTCTCACTGGCAAAATTGAGGGCAAACGAGGCAGGGGTCGGCCCAGAACAACATACTTAGGGAACCTAAACAAATGGGTAACAGGGAAAGATCAGGGAAACGTAGCTTTTTTGAGAGCATCCGAGCAAAGAAATGAATGAGGAACCATGATCGCCGATGTCTGTCACAGATCTGGCACTCAATGATGATGATACCATGCAATAAGTATGTATGTATTCATCTATGTGTGTATATATTTAGTAGAAATTGTCCAAGAGGTACATCGTGACCGTCAATAATTTATTCATTTACAGAGGCACCAGCCATCCATGTCCTGGTGCTGTTTTAGTCTCTTTTTCCTGTCTGTGGATTAGTATTCTTTTGTTTAATTTGGTTCCACTTCCATGCACCCTGTATCCATGGTTCTCAATCTGGAAATCCCCTTTAATTCGCTGTAATTGCTCCCCCCCTTTCCATTTCTTCTCACCCACCCCCTGTTATATATTGCTATCATTCATACGTTACTTTCCAAATGTAACCATCTTGACCATCAATGATTTATTTGTAGAGGCACCAGCCATCCATGTCCAGGTGCTGTTTAAGCCAAGTAGCCATCTTGACCATCAATAATTTATTTATAGAGGTACCAGCTATCCATGTCCAGGTGCTTTTTTTAATTAGGTGATTGACAGGCGGACGTCATTATAATCTTTTAAAAAGAAAAAAAAACGCAAGAGGGGAAGTGGGGGTAGTCTTTAAAATTTGTACTGGTAATTGCCTTGAACAGGGGGGCTGTTAAATCAGGTTTGACTGGAATACATCGCGCGCGCGCGCGCACACACACACTCACACACACACACACACACACACACACACACACACACACACACACACACACATTTACACTCAAATACAAATAGTAATAAAATTATGCGTAATACCGCCGCCCCGAATAAATCCCCCCCTCCCCTTCCAATCTCCACCGTTCTATTTATTAGTCTAAAATATATCCTGTCTACACAATATGCTTTTGAAACTGCTACAGCCTGACTCACTTGAGAACACAGCACATTGTTGTATTAAGTTTTTACACTTCGGCATTAGGCATGCCAGTGTTCTGTGCTTTATAACGATACAAAAGGGTACAAACCGTCATCAGTAAGTCAGAAACACTTTAGGGTTTCTCGTATGCGATAATCTGTGCAGCAGTAAACTTATACTGAACACAAGTTTAAACAGTGGAGTAGGAAACCAAGGATTCAATTAAAAGAGTTGATCTATTGTTACGATATAATACTATCAGCGTTCCTAAGCTCAAATTCATGAAAATTTAACTCCGTTGTGTTCTTAGTTACATTGAATGCTTCGCATGGCTTCTTCTAACAATGACGCAAAATGAACACTGTTAAACTATCATAATATAAATCATAATTATAGATGGGTGACTGGGGGAAACCAGAATAATGGGGTATTGTTTTGTTTTGTTTTAGCTTTTATTTATTGTGGAGGGGTTTTCTGTTTCTTTTATTTTCTTTTTCTTTTTTTTTGGGGGGGGGGGGGCGTTTTTTTATTTTTAGCCTTTTGACGATTTGTATTTGCTTTATAAAGGATTCGGGCACAGAAATGAACAGCGATCCATGATTACACAAAGGCAAAACGAGATTACACGAATATAATATAGATCTAGTTGCACGTTGAAAAATACTGGCTAATCTCAGTGGGGTAAATTGTACAGAAGCAAAAACGGATATAATTAAATGGTTCCATCACATAACAGCCTGGCAGCTGTCTTTACTTCTTACAAATCTTTGCCAGCGGTTCATTCAAGTCGAAATTTAATTTAGACCTGTTTTTAACTAAGCATAATATAAATGGAAAATACAATCGATTCATCAAATTAAAAGAAACACAACTAAGTTTGGTATTTAAAGGGTTAGCCGTTTTTATAACAAGGGCGACAATAATATGTAAGATTCTGTTTACTGCATGCGCAAACTAACTTTTCAGTGAAAGTTCGACAGCGGGGTTGTACAATATGTAAAGCTTCAGTACATGTCTATGGTGCACGTACGTCATGAATACAACTCTTTTGTGATGTTTACTGAAGCCTAGTAGTAATCCTCTGGCCAGCCAGTACTGCGCTGAACTCTGCATTTGTCTCTCTGTCTTGAAAATACAACATTGCAAATCAGTGGTCAGCTTATGTTTCAAGTAAATTTGACGCACCCACCCCCTCTCCATCCCACCCACCCACCCCCATCCCTAGCTTATGTTCAAGTACACCCCATTTCGGATTTGGGCAAAGTACATCCGCTCCCTAGTACAAAATGATGCCAGCGGAGCCAAAAGAGAGCCCAGCACCAGCGAAGGCATGAGGGTGGACGTTTTGAAGCAGAAAGGTTGTGTAGTAAACAGACACGCCTTGAGTTAATTGTGTTAAATGTTGCGCGAACAAACTATTGATTAACGTGTTTGAGAGACAGACGTAAGTGTGGATTATGATATGGCTTGTTTCTCCCCACCCCGACCCCGCCCTCACTCCACTGTCTCTTTTTCGCCTTCTATCTCCCCCCGCTTCTTTACCGATCCCCTCAACGGTACCATACCCTCTTTTCCCCCACGCCCTCCACCTAAACAACTTTGCCATCCTCCCTTGGTGCCCCCTCCTTTCCC